CGGCGCCAGCAAACACCTGCAAACAGCTCCGGGCACACAATGGCAAATACAGGTGGGAACCGCCGCCTCCGTCAGCGCAGCGATTGCATCAGACTCCGGCGTTTGCCAAGAGGCGAACGAGCCGGCCTAGGGGCCACCGGCACCGCGGCGGGGCCGCGCTCGACCTTCAGCATTTCACGCCCCCCTCCCCCCGCCACCCCCCGAATTAGTTTTTGCCCTCCTCACCGTCTTTTCTGCACCCCTGCAGTGTACCTGGGGTGGTAAAATAAAGCCGGGCTTACTCGGCCAGGACCATTTTTCTCGTTTCAGCTGTTCCCCCCTAGGTAAATCTCGGCCCCTGCGACTATTTTTGGATGTGTTTTCCCCGTTTTCTTTACTTTTTTTTTTTTTTTTTTTTTTAAATCAGTTTTTTCCAGGAAATCATCGTCATCCCACAGCAGCCAGGGCAAATCTGCTGCATGGGGTAAATCTTCCCCCCGAGGTAAATCCCATCTGCCCCACGAGGTACATTATCCCATCAATCCCCCGAGGTAAATTCCAGTCCCTGCAGTTATTCAGCAGTTATTCTTAGTTGTGGGGGTTTCATTTTTATTTTTTTTTTTTTATTATTATTATTTTTTTTTGTTTGGTTTGGTTTGGTTTGGTTTGGTTTTTTCCAAGAGGAGTTTCAAAGAAAGCACCACCGGCAACTGACAGCCGAGTCCAGGGTGCCACTGGGGTCTGAACTAGGCTTGTGCCAGAATCTGGGAATGTCGGGGTGGCTGTTCCGGGCAAGACGCCGGGATCCATTCACCTCGGGGGAGGAGGTAACGGCTCTGGGAGGCTTCTTGGGAGCTAGACCAAAACCTACACACTGCCAAACCCCACAGCTCCTGGCCTCGGGAATCCCCTGCTCTGATCCCTGAGAGGGGACAGGGGCAGGGGCCACCTCCACTTCCCGGGGGCTGGAGTCCCCCTCCACCTCCCCAGTGCCGTTTCCATCCAAAAAGCCCCAGCAGGAATGGTTTCTCCCACCCCACCAGTAGCCCCATGTCTCCCAGTAACCCCAACTACAAAGTAGGCTCATTAATGCTCCCACGAGTCCAGGATTTCCACCACCATCATCCCTGATGGGGGTCCCATTAGGACCTGGAGCGCTCACACTGCAAGAAGCTCCACCTTCCAGCTCCCGAGACTCATCTCTGTCCCCTGGCTCATGCCCAGGGTGCTTTTCCCACCCATCCCACTTAAATCCCTTTGGCACATCAGCACTGGCACAGCTGGAGGACCACGACACCAGGGTTAATGTGGGGACACTCACCCCTAACCCACCCCTTGCCTTTTCCTCCAGAGCCAAAAGCCAGTGGAGATGGCAAAAGACTATTTTCAGCTGTGAGCATAACAGCATCTCTGTTCCCAGATGCAGTGGTTTTTGGATGGACACCCTCACCTGCCTCCCACCATGCCTGGACAGCCCATGTCACCGCATCCCACCTCACCCAAGGGTGCCTGGGGATACCCTGCCCTGGGTAGCCCTGGAACATCAAGCTCGGAGAAGGGAGGAAAGTTCCCAGGGGCTGGTGATCCAGTTGGACCAGGTACTTTTCGGAAGCTCCACATGCTGTTTTTCCCTGTGGAAATGCCCATGGACAAAAGGCATTTGGCAGCTGCCAGCTGCACCCCAAGCTCTTGTTGGCTGTCATTGGGATAGAGGCTGAAGCCAGTGTGTGTGGGCAAAGGTTTCTATCCCTCCGAGACCCCCGTATCTTCTCCCTCCTCCTCTTCCCATGATGCAGCCCCTCACCCAGCTCCCCTGGATGCTGGAGCACCCTGGGGACATCCCAATGCCATGGGGCAGGACCTACAACCCTGCCTGGCCGAGCCCATGGCAGCAAAACCAGAGCCAAACACAGAGGATGAAGATGATGGTGCTACAAGTGGGGCTGAAGTTAAATTATCTTCATTGTAGGCAGGCCAGCACCTTCCTCAGGGAGCACGATCCAGCTCCACAGCTGCACCAGCCGGGGGTCATATCTGCTCCCAGGCCAAAGGGAAACCGCAGCATTACCCAAGGGGAGGGTGTTGACCCCAAGGAGATAAGGCCAGGCAGGGGCTGCTCTCGGGATACTACCTGGGGCAGCAAAAGCAGTCCAGAAATTCCCCTGCCCCTATGGGGTATATCCTAGGGGAACAGCATCACCCCTTCCAGCCCCATAGAAGTTCAAGTCCAGCATCAGGGCACCAAGCAGCCCGTTTCCACATGGCTAAAAGTGGAAAAAACATATTTTCCCCTCCTTCCCAGGGTTCCAGCTACACCTCCAGATGGTCCTCAGGGCTCAGTACCATCTTCACTCCTTCCATATCAGATAAATGCAGCAGCACCCAAAATAGCCGGCAGCCACCTTGTCAGGAGCCGGCAGCCTAGGGTTAATTCCTCCCATACCTGAGCTGACATTTCAATGCTATTACACAATTATGGAGATTCCTACAGTAACCCTAGAACTTCCCATCAGTTTGGGAAGCTTCTACCTCCCAGAGGGTTGTTTTCCTTCTCAGGGGTGCACCCCAGTTCCCTCCACCCCAGTGATAACGGAGAAAAAACAATCAAAATTACCTGATTTTTATTATGTAAAAATGTAACTTTTATAAAAAGTTTATAAAGCAAGTACAAGGCATGTTTGCAGAAACTCACCTTCCTGCACAAAAGGTACAAAAAGTTATACTCTAGTATAGAGCTCCACAATATACGAGGCCACAGCCCCAGAGAGTTTGGTTCATACTCGAGGATGTTTGTCCCCCCTCCCCAAAACCCCCTAATCCCCACCCCGCCATCCCATTGAACACCTTTAAAAAAAAGGACTCGCTGCTATAATCCAAAAATATATAGACAACCTCCTCTTCATCATCAGTCTGTCTTAAAAAATATCTCATGTGAGCCCGGATCCAAAGCTGGCATGCTGAGCTCCGTGGGTGGGATGCTGGCGGTGGAAGGCTGGGGGGGGTCGGAACCAGCTGCTCCCCACTCGCGGTGCCCGGGCCCGGGGGAGGCGATGTTGGGGCCGGTAGGTCGCAGACAACCCGGCGCCACGGAGGAAGCTGCTATTTACCTCCGGCTGATAACGAACCAGGAACCGACCCTCGCTGCCTGTTTGCTAATTGGCACCGGGAGGTGAGAGAAGAGAGGGGGAGGGAGAAAAAAAAAAAATAATAGTGGTAATTAGTGGGGTGGTAAGTGGGGTTGGGAATGGAGATTTGGGAAGAGGGGATGGGAGCCAGGAAACCAAGTTTCTCAGGGATGGTATCTGGCCCTCGGTTGGCGATGCTGGGGGTGGGTTGGTGCTGGTTGGGGGCTGGGGTGCAGGTGAGAGACATAGGGAGGGATTGCAGAAAGGGGGAGCACTGGTCTGCATTGTTTGGGTCGGTATCGGGGGTGGGTTGGGGGAGATGGACTGGGGTGCGAGTGGTGAAAAACTGGGGTGCGAGGGGGAACTGGGGAGAGGGGAGTATGAGTTGCTGGGGATCGGTCCCCTAGGGACTTTGATGCTGGGGGCGGAAGGGGAGCCCGGGACGTCACCTGGGATGCGGGCATATGGGGAGGACTGGGCTGTGGATCGCGGTGGCGGTGGTGACTGGGGGCGACACTCACCTGATGGAGGTGGCGTTAGTGACACAAACTTCTCTCGTCTTTGGTGCGGAGTTCTGAGGCGAGTTCAGCCGCCTGCGGAGAGAGGGGACAGGGCTTAAGATCACCCCGGCCGCTGGTGGTCCCTCCTCCTCCCCATTCCCCACCGTGCCATGACTCGCGGACCCTGCAGCACCCCCGTCCCGACTTGTTATCACCTCCAACCTAACACATCCTCTCTCCCCCAATCGACATACCTAGCCCCCAGGCCGAAGCGACCCTTACCTTAAGGGAGAGTAGGGTGGCCTCGGAGGAGGGGTCGCAGCCCTTAGACCCCTCCTCCAGTACGATCTGGAGGTCGAAGATGTAGTCTATGACGTGCTGCAGGATTTCCACCTGGCTCACCTTGGTGCCTTGAGGGATGCCCGGCACCAGCTCCCGCAATTTGGAATAGCAGTCGTTCATATCGTAGAGCAAGTTCATGGGCTCTTCCAAGGCCGGGCTCTTGTTGTGGCTGCCTCGGGCGATGGCCAAACTCTGCTCCGAGAGGCAGCAAACGGCCTCGTAGCAGCTCCGGACAGAGCGCACCGGGCTGATGGCTTTCATGCTGGACTCAGATCAGGTCTGGAGATGCAGGGCAGGGGATGCCTAGGAGCCTCAGCGGCTGTCGCGGCAGCGGGGGTTTTGCTGGGACCTCCGAGCACCAGGACCGCCAAAGAGGGCAGCTCTGAGAGCCTTAACTCTCACCCT